TAACCGTTAGATTTTTTAACTATATAAACATCACCTGTAACAAACGATGGTTAGATTTTTTAACTATATAAACATCACCTGTAACAAACGATGGTTAGATTTTTTAACTATTTAAACATCACCTGTAACAAACAATGGTTAGATTTTTTAACTATATAAACATCACCTGTAACAAACGATGGTTAGATTTTATAACTATATAAACATCACCTGTAACAAACGATGGTTAGATTTTATAACTATATAAACATCACCTGTAACAAACATTTTAACTATATGAACATCACCTGTAACAAACAACGGTTAGATTTTATAACTATTTAAACATCACCTGTAACAAACAATGGTTAGATTTTTTAACTATATAAACATCACCTGTAACAAACAACGGTTAGATTTTATAACCTTATAAACATCACCTGTAACAAACAATGGTTAGATTTTTTAACTATTATAAACATCACCTGTAACAAATAACCGTTAGATTTTTTAACTATATAAACATCACCTGTAACAAACGATGGTTAGATTTTTTAACTATATAAACATCACCTGTAACAAACGATGGTTAGATTTTTTAACTATTTAAACATCACCTGTAACAAACAATGGTTAGATTTTTTAACTATATAAACATCACCTGTAACAAACGATGGTTAGATTTTATAACTATATAAACATCACCTGTAACAAACGATGGTTAGATTTTATAACTATATAAACATCACCTGTAACAAACGATGGTTAGATTTGGTAGATTCTAAATTTAAAATACTTCAATTATCTATTCCATAAAAATATTGAAAATAGCCTTTCTTTCATTTTAGGTTATTCTACGTTTCCAAGTTCAGCGTGGGGTTATTGTCATTCCAAAAAGTGTAAGAAAAGAAAGAATTGTGGAAAACATTCAGGTTAGTTAAGTGTAATAAAAGTAAAGTTGGCAGTAGTTTATTATAATTAAACGCACTTGATAATTTGTAGATTCATATATTCTTTATAGAAGTTTTAAAAGTTTATAACATTAATGTTGCATCTGGTCCTAGATGTCGTGACCTTCTACAGTGTTGCATCAAATATTTAATTAAATTACTTTATTATCGAAGTTTTTAACTTCTTAATTTGAAAAAGAAATATTAAAAGATGTCTCAGTCATCTTTCTTGTGATACATCTGTGTTCCAATTCTCCCAACCTCCAAAATAGGCTGCTGCAGTTTCAACCAACCAATTAAAAATTTAAACTATGTATGATACAAAAAATCTAAAACAAAAACTTCCTACCTTCTTGATTTGCTGGGCTATCAATAAATTTGTCACCCTCCCCCTCTCTCTCTCTCTTTTTCCCTGAATTTTGAAGTTGTTTACTAATTAACTTTACATTGCTGATGGACTTGCTTATAACCAATAGAAAGAGCAGATTCTTCCCTATTTAAATCAAAAAGTAAAGTAAAGTAACTTTACACAAAATCAGGGATGGCTAGTTCAGATGGCCCTTGAGTAACTTTACACAAAATCAGGGATGGCTAGTGCAGAAGGCCCTTGAGTAGCTTTACACAAAATCAGGGACGGCTAGTGCAGGCGGCCCTTGAGTAGCTTTACACAAAATCAGGGATGGCTAGTGCAGACGGCTCTTGAGTAGCTTTACACAAAATCAGGGATGGTTAGTGCAGACGGCTCTTGAGTAGCTTTACACAAAATCAGGGACGGCTAGTGCATACGGCTCTTGAGTAGCTTTACACAAAATCAGGGACGGCTAGTGCAGACGGCTCTTGAGTAGCTTTACACAAAATCAGGGACGGCTAGTGCAGATGGTCCTTGAGTAGCTTTACACAAAATCAGGGACGGCTAGTGCAGACGGCTCTTGAGTAGCTTTACACAAAATCAGGGACGGCTAGTGCAGATAGCCCTTGAGTAGCTTTACACAAAATCAGGGATGGCTGGTGCAGGCAGCCCTTGAGTAGCTTTACACAAAATCAGGGACAGCTGGTGCAGATGGTCCTTGAGTAGCTTTACACAAAATAAGGGATGGCTGGTGCAGGCAGCCCTTGAGTAGCTTTACACAAAATCAGGGACAGCTGGTGCAGATGGCCCTTGAGTAGCTTTACACAAAATAACGGATGGCTGGTGCAGGCAGCCCTTGAGTAGCTTTACACAAAATTCCACAAACAAAATTGTAATATATTTATCATTTGAAGTTTTGTATGCCCTTTAAACCAACAGAATCAGTATAAAAATACACAAGTTCATATACACATTCGCACTTGTTAAGTGTTTATACTATAACTTCTAATGCTGTATGTGTATCTTCACAAAATTTAGTAGACTTTTAGTAAACATTACAAGTGTTTTGTACACAAAACTCAAATTCTTTAATGAAGTATTTTTCCTAAAGATTTGTTTGTGAATATATTGGTTTTATTTCTTTACTAGTCCGAGTGGAAGTGATTTACATGTTATGATTAAAATAACTATGCTTTGTCCCAAAAATCTCAAATATCATTTGTGTAATATCTAAAACCTCCTAAATACA